ATTTTTCTGATGAAATCACTAAAAGATAGAAATACATACTTTGAACTTGGCTCTTGTTGAGGCACATTCTCCAGATGCTTGACTTCGAGTGGGTCGAATTGAGACTTGTCAACATATATAAGGAGAAACAGTTTCTATGGAAGATTATTGAAGAGGTGAAATCTGCCGTTTCTTTTGATTGTAGAATGAAATTTTTCTGATTTAAGAGGTGTAGAAACGGTTTATATGGAAGATGATTGAAGAGGTGAAAGAGGAATTGGTAATTTTTGAACATGGGGTGGTGGGGTGCTGACTAGAACAAGTGTGGTAACAGGAGGAGTGTGGGTTTGACATGTAACGTTAAAAAAGGAACAAGAATCAAGGTAAAATCCCTAAAAATGTGTTAGAGATAATTATGGTAGATTCTTTATTTATATTATTTAATAATAAATATAAAATTATAAAAGACTAATTATTTAATAAAGTAAAATTAAATTAATTTATAAATAAAAGGTGATCTGTTATAACCCGTAATTAAACTGTTATAAGCAAGAATATTTTAAAAGTAGATTTAAAACCTGTAATATTGTCCCTTAAATATATATGTGGTGTGATTTTTCCATAAAAAAAACACAATTAGTCAGAATTTGTATATTTGTTTCTTACTTACTTGAGACATAAGCCACCAATTTTATTTTATTTTTAAAAGATAATATTATGCTCTTTGGACATATGACATACTTTTGTTATGACTTTTACGATATAACTTGTGGAATATTATGATACAAATATATAAATTTATAGCTAGATATCGGTGTAGTCACATAGAACATAAAGAGGCAAAACATCAAGAGTCTAAAAATGCAGAATTTTCTGCACAGAGGATGAGTAAGGTTTCTCTTTGAAGAGTTTCAAGTTTAGTTATAACTTTTGTCAAGTAGAGTAGCATCACTCACAAACTTTTCAAATTAGTATATGCAGAGGCTAAAATGAGTTGACTACATAGCCAAAATGGACTGCTTACTGTTTTACTTTTGAACAAACTGAATGTTGATCGCCTTCCTGAAGGTGTGTTCTTCGACTTGGATCACCTTTCACTAGCCTTGCTCTTGCTCGAGGATCAAGTTTCCCATCATCCGTCTCTTTTGAGCCCTTATTTCCACATGTATGATGTGAATCTTGAATTGATTTTGGAAAAGTTTTGCACTTGATATGATGTCTGTTCTGACATGAATTGTGATTCTTCAAGTCTGAAACTACTTCTGCTTTCGCCTTGCTCCTCATGCTTATCATTTGATCATTAACTGTAAATAAATATACAATACTTTCAGCAAGAAATACACCATGTATAGTGTGTTCTATCTTTGTAACCCGCACAACAGTTCTAAATTTACAAGAGGCACTGTATTCGATGAAACACATGAACAAGTTTCACAAAATAGTGCAGAATCAAGAATTAACTTTTGAAAATGTATCAGCAACATTCCTGTTTCTCGTCTAAACAAATTTGTCAGATGCGTTGGTATGCCCATTCTGATCTGAGAATAATCAGATCACCCGTGCTTAATCAAATACAGCAAACTTCCCATGATGTCTCACTGACAACCAGTACCTAAATGTGGATTATGTGCATAGCAGAAGTATATATCCTATGCACAAGGGAACTACGCGAGGGTATGATTTGGCATGTTAGTGCAGAGTCACTCACAATGAAGACGAAGCTATTCTACATACCTATTATGGGTTTCCTTCTCTTATACGCAGCCACATTAACTGGCCCCAAATTAACAAGATTAAAGTATCAGAAAAGAAACTGTGCAAAGACAGGACATGTAATATTTACATGTTAATGTCAACAATAAGCACAAAAAATGCTATTAAATCATTGTTCCTCAAGTGAATTTTCAGGTTTCTTCCATCACACTTCGTTCATGAAAAAATATGGTTTTGCTATACCATTCAGTATGTAGGAGTCCAAGTTTGTGTTACCCCAAGAAGGAATTAATTCTACAATGCGAAGTTCGTTATGGATTACCAGGGCTTGATAAGACTGCACGTGGTCGAGGGACTGAAGTGGCCCTTGTATTTGTTTTGCTTCCACCAAAAATGGTTTGGTTATTTTCCTTCGTTCTCCCTGCCAATCAACCGAGTGAAAGTCAATCCACTTGCAAAGTGAGTGGTAACAAAAAGTTGTTAAAGAAGTATGTAACCTCTCGATGATGGAAGCCCATGTCTGTCTGGGCTTAAGATACATGCCCGGGGTATCCTCACAACTGATGTAGGAGAATCATCTTTATACACCATCAGAAAGAAGCAAAGGAGAAAAGAAAACAGCAAGGAACTAGTCAGACACTATCAGAGCTGAGAACAAATAAAAAGATGGATGAAAGGCAATGACGTATTGATGGAAACAGTCAAATACTACAATAGTATGGTTGAAGTTATTGCTGGATGTTAGTATGCAAACTCCCATATTTTGCTTAAATCCAACCATCGATTCTCAGCATCATGGTTTTGGAAATGGTGTACTGTGAATAAAACCAATAATCAAAGACTTCAACGAGCACTATGCAATACAACAAAATGTGACAATTAAGAAAGAACTACAGGGATTTGGAGACTTCAAGAAACCAGTCGCATAGTCACGAGATACAAGTGGATATGCATCTACTAAAGCTAACCTAGCTTATCCACTATACATATAGAAAGCTGCACTATTGGTGGTAAGCCTAAAACTTTTGAATAGGATCATCAAACACTAGAGAGTACTTGAAGGATTTCCAATCCAGCGCGACGCTGGGATTCTGCTCAAAATAGATGAGGTCCAGGAACAGCAAACACAAAATGGAAATGCTCTAATGTCAGGATTATTTACAAGTAGCAAACCCTTGGGAGGTGAAAGAGAATATGATGTTGTGCACTATTCATTTTGCTTGCATCAGTACATTACAATAAAATCCACATATAAAGTGTGTCCTGTTTAAGGAAAGCAAGAAGATAAGCAAAAGAAAAATATTACTAATATAACTAAGTGAACTATAATTAGTTAGACAAATTGTGTAGAACAATCTACGTTCAAAACAATGGTGCCATGTTGATATCCCTTTACAAGGAAAAATTAAAGCAAAAATGATCCTTTACATTCATATCTACTCAAAAATCAAAGCCTGCTAAATTCAACTACACCTAAATCCCAAAGATGATGTTGGCTATATAAACTTCTACATCCATTTCACTTAGTTTCATCCCAATATTGACAAATAACTTGTCTTTTAAGGGAAAATGAAATTTCTCCATCATTAGAGGTTCTCAAAACCTCACATTTGTCCCTATACTGACATACAAATCTAAATGGCAAAAAGTTCTATTATCCAGAAGGCTTGCTATTGGACTAAAGCCATAGAAAGATATGATTCTTATCAAGATCCCTCATTTACAAATAAGTTCCCCTAATCTAGCATGATAAAGAGCAACCCAAAACTAGTCAATCACAAAAAAGAAAAAAAACACACAAGTTAATTGCATGATTGATTATAAAGAATCAACCAAAAGATCAAGTTATGTTGGGATGATTTCTGAGATGATCACTCAACTAATAGTTATCATCTCGGAAAATCACCTTTCTTCTTGATTCCAACTTTCTTCAACAAAGCTACTAACTTTATGAGATAACAACTATACTCAGCTATATTAGCAAATATAAAAGATCATACAAGTATGTAAGATGGGATTCCTCACAAACAAAAGTGTACCTGAAGAAGAGAAATCACTTATGGAAAGGGATTCAAAAGCCTTCAAAGATGGCAAAGACTGATAAGCGTACTGATCATCTTCTTCTTTCTGTACCCTCACCTTAACCCTTGGATACACTTACAAAATTCAAAGAATAAACAAAATCAAAATACCCTTTTCAGCAAAGGCACCAAAGTCAGAATCCAATATACTCATAAGATTAAAGAAACCATAAAAAACCAAAATTGAAACCTACTTGTCTTTTAACTTGCAGAAGCTATCAAGAGTCAACCAGCTATCTCTGTCCCTGAAAAATGAAAACCCATATCAGCAAATAAGATCAAAACAGCAAAATCATAATCATATACAAAAAAAGATCAAGAAATCACAAAACCCAAAAAGCCCACCTGAGTTCTAACTTAGAATATGCTTCAGAACTTTACAAATAGCTCAAAACTCTCCTCCTCCAGCTGTTTGGCTTTAGATATCTTTAAAAAGGTGAAATCTTTGGTAATGAAAGTGACAAAAAGGAGTGGAAACCTGTGAATATTCAACCAAAAACTATGAGTGATTCTTGAAAATGGAAAACAAATCATTAAAAGGGGTTGCTTTCTTTTTCTATTTAAGTATAGATTAAGATTTTTTGTGGGGTTTATACTTGTATTATACAAGAGGTCAAAGGGGCAAATTGAGGGGACTATATAGAAAGAGTCCTTTTTTGAAGCACTTTCGGCAAAGTTGACAGAATCTGATGCTTTTTACAAGCATGTACGGTAGGTAATGGAAGAAAGATCATATGGTCAACTAATTGCAGGTTGCTTTCAAGTTTCAATTTTCAGTTTTGTGTCTGTCTCTATTTATTGGTTCTTTACGCAATGTAACGTGCCAAATAGAGGTGTCAATAAAGTAGGACCAAGTGAAGTGTATCGAGAACAAGAATGATAAAGTATTGGTAGAAGAGGTGTTGGGAGAGTTAGAGCATTTCGAGAGTTAGAGCGATTTTGAGTATTGTAGGTGTATAAAAGTTGTATTGCGGACGTTGATTAGGCTATGGAAAAAATAAACAAGTCCGACTAGATTTTGGTGAATTTTGAAAGAAAAGAAAAGAAGTAGGTATGGAGGGGTTGATTGGGTTATTTTAATGTTATATATAGGACGACTTGGATGCTAAAAAGAGGAGAAGTGGAGTACAATGATTTCTGTTGTGCGAGAATAAGTGTGATGTTCAAAATTGTAATAATTATAAAAGTATTAATCTACTAAGTCATACTATGAAAGTTTGGGACGGGGTGGTCAAGATGAGGATGGGAAAGGATGGATCAATTCGAATTCATATTGACGTGATCAATTACAAAAATCATTCTTATCGTAAGGAGATTATTGGAATAGTATAGGGATAAGATGAGAGACTTACACATGTTTATTAACTTAGAAAAAGTGTACTAAAAAGTTCATAAGGAGGTCATTTGGAGATGTTTGCAGTCTAAAAACTTACACACACACATATATATATTTATATATATATATATATATATATATATATATATGATGGAGTTAGGATTCGGGTTAGGATAGTCAGAGGTTACTCAAACTACTTTTCAATCATGATGAGATTGCGTCAGAGGTCAATCCTTAGCCCGTTCAAATTTTACCTTAGTGATAGATGAAATTGACACGACATATTCAAGAAAAGGGGTCGTGATGTATGTTATTCGTAGATGACATAGTTTTGATTGACAAGATACGTTGTGGAATTAATGATAGGCTAGAGTTGGGAGACATACTCCCAAAGTCTAGATAAAAAATTGATTGATAGTTTAGATAGGAAATTCGTACAACTGATAGTTCAAATACGAAACTCACAAAAACATGATACTATAGATGTGTTATTCACCATTCGTTCTAAATATAAAACAGAATAGATCGGGACCCCCTTAAACTTGACGATTATATTTAATGTTGGTTAAATATCCTCTATATAAAACATTAATATATTTTCCACGTAGGATTTATAACAATCTCAAATTAATTTATATTTCCATTTATCGTTATAATATAGTATAGTTTGCGTTGACTAATATTGAGGTAGTAGGTAGCATCTATCTCTTTTAGGGTTCCATCGCTCACACACACTCTTCACTCTCCGGTAGATCTCCAAATTCTCCGACGGAAAAGGTTAGTACTTTCTATTCGTATTATCTTTGTCAAAACTGAATCTTCATTGTTGTGAAAGTTAATTTTTGCTTGAGAACTTGACTCATCGTCTCATTTTCAAATTCAGTTCAGGTAATTTATGGGTTAATTTAGCATATGTATCACTGAACTGCCGGAAATTTGACTTTCCGATGAGTTAATCTAAATGCTTATGATTCAGTATTAGGAGAAAACCGAAGCAAAAAAAATGAAAGTATATGCTTTAGGTGAAACGTATATCTATGTCTGTAGAGAAGGTGAGAAGGGACGAAGAGTAATTGATCAAATTCGCGGACATTATTATGAAGAACCGCTCTATTTTGGCTTAAAAGCTCCTGAACTGCTCTAAATTATAGTTAATTGAGTGATTTTAACTATACAAGAAATAGTATTGTGATTTTTTTGATATATACTGTGTAAAGTTTAGTGACTATGTGTGAAATTAACTCCAGTAATTTGTTTTTGCCCTCGTGTATGATATAGCTTTGGCATTGGATTTCTTGGGAAATTACATATGATTGGTGTATTGTTTTGTTTTGAGGAATGGTTGGGGAGCTGGATTTGTGTATGTTAATGGATATTTTGATTGGAAACTGTAATGGTTTGGTGAATTTACAACTCTATTAATCGCTGTCTCGTTGTTTTTTGAATTTTGTAAAAGAAAAGCATAAAAGTGGGATGAGTGATATGAGTTTGTTAAAACATCTTTGCCTTTTTTCTCGTTTAATTTTCTCAGTTTATTCATTTGGATGCTTGAAGTTGGAATTTGGGTGCCCTGATGCAAATGATTCGTGTGCGTACCAGAATGGCTCTTTCTGCTTGTGCGATGTTACATCGTTCCTCAATTTCAGGTCCTGTGCGACTGATGACGACAGCCACACAAAGTATTGCTGCTAAGCTGAGCAGCTCTGGATTGTTGCGGAGTCAGGCTCTTATTGGAGGGAAATGGGTTGATGCATATGATGGGAAGACTATAAAGGTCCACAATCCTGCAACAGGGGAGGTAATAACAGATGTGCCATGCATGGGCGGGAGGGAGACGAATGATGCAATTTCTTCTGCCTATGATGCATTTAGTTCATGGAGCAAACTTACTGCCGCTGAAAGGAGCAAATATTTAAGGAAGTGGTATGATTTGATAATGGCCCATAAAGAAGAACTTGGACAGCTTATGACACTAGAGCAAGGGAAGCCTCTGAAAGAGGCCATTGGTGAAGTTAGTTATGGGGCTGGTTTTATTGAGTTCTCCGCTGAAGAGGGTAAGCGTATATATGGTGACATCATTCCATCACCATTAGCAGATAGGCGGTTATTTGTTTTAAAGCAACCAGTTGGTGTTGTTGGTGCAATTACTCCGTGGAATTTTCCCCTGGCTATGATTACCCGAAAAGTTGGCCCTGCTCTTGCTTGTGGTTGTACAGTGGTGATAAAACCATCTGAACTCACACCCTTGACTGCTTTAGCAGCAGCTGAACTCTCCATTCAAGCTGGAATACCACCGGGCGTAGTGAATGTTGTTATGGGAAATGCACCTGCTATTGGAGACGCACTGCTTGCAAGCCCACAGGTAAGAAAAATTACATTCACAGGTTCAACCAAGGTTGGGAAAAAATTGATGGAAGGTGCTGCTGCCACCGTCAAAAAGGTATCTCTTGAGCTAGGCGGTAATGCACCTTGCATCATCTTTGATGACGCAGATCTTGAAGTAGCTTTAAAAGGAGCTCTGGCAACAAAGTTCCGTAACACCGGACAAACATGTGTATGCGCGAACAGAATACTTGTGCAAGAAGGGATATATGATAAATTCGCAAATGCTTTTGCAAAAGCTGTCCAAAACATGAAAGTTGGAGATGGTTTCACTGAAGGTGTGGAGCAAGGCCCTCTAATCAATGAAGCAGCAGTACAGAAGGTTGAGTCTTTTGTAGAAGAAGCTACTTCAAAGGGAGCCAAAGTCCTCGTTGGTGGGAAGAGACACAGCCTTGGCATGACTTTCTACGAGCCTACAGTCGTAACTGGAGTTAACAGTGAGATGCTCTTGGCGAAAGAGGAAGTATTTGGGCCAGTCGCCCCTCTTTTGAAGTTCAAAACAGACGAAGAAGCAATCCAAATGGCTAACGACACCAATGCTGGTTTAGCTGCTTACATATTCTCAACAAACATTAAAAGAGCTTGGCGTGTTACTGAAGCTCTCGAATATGGAATTGTCGGAGTTAATGAAGGACTAGTTTCAACCGAGGTAGCTCCATTCGGAGGCGTGAAACAATCAGGTCTTGGCCGCGAAGGTTCTAAATACGGGATGGATGAATATTTAGAGATGAAATATGTGTGCTTGGGAAGTATGAGCTAAATCACCTATGTAATTTTTTTTTCTCACTAATAAGAGACACAATGGTGCCAGTCTCATTTTGGGTTTAATGCAGTTTTCACGTCTTTATGAATGAACACATTTTTAGTGTCTTTATTGCCTCTCTTCTTTTCAATTGCTCTATTTTTTCCTGTTATCAATTCCTTTCTTATAGCTGATTAAATAAATTCCATATATTTACACTTTGACGACTGATACGGTGCTCTATACTACCACCGAGCTAAATACTTGGATAGACCGTAGTTAAATTTTTATTTTTTTTGGTTTTCCACCTAGTGTCCAGTACTCACGTAGGACCGATACTCATATAGGAGCTTGGCTAAATCCTAATTGCACCATGAAGTCCCACATTGGACCAATACTCACATAGGAGCCGGGCTAAATCCGAATTGCGCCGGAAAGTCCTACATTGCATAAAGCGCTTCGGCTTGTGCCGGAAAGTCTCATGCTCTGAATTGTGCTGGAAAGTCTCATATTGGGGGTAAAACACTTACTAATAAAGATGCTCTATACTACCACCGAGCTCCGGATTGTGGTGGAAAGTCTCACATGGGGTAAGCGCTTCCTAATAAGATGCTCTATACTACCACCGAGCTCCGGATTGTGGTGGAAAGTCTCACATGGGGTAAGCGCTTCCTAATAAGATGCTCTATACTACCACCGAGCTCCGGATTGTGGTGGAAAGTCTCACATGGGGTAAGCGCTTCCTAATAAGATGCTCTATACTACCACCGAGCTCCGGATTGTGGTGGAAAGTCTCACATGGGGTAAGCGCTTCCTAATAAGATGCTCTATACTACCACCGAGCTCCGGATTGTGGTGGAAAGTCTCACATGGGGTAAAGCGCTTCCTAATAAAGATGCTCTATACTACCACCGAGCTCCGGATTGTGCTGGAAAGTCTCACATGGGATAAAGTGCTTCCTAATAAAGATGCTTTATACTACCACCGAGCTAAATACTTGATAGGCAGGAGTTAATTTTTTTTTTTGATTGTTCACCTAGTGTCCGGTACTCATATAGGAGTCCGACTAAATCCAGATTATGTCGAAAAGTTCCACATTGGAGGTAAAACGCACCAAATTAGTCTGGAAGTCTCTCATTGGGATAAAACGCCTCCTAATAAAGGTAGCTTTGTACCTATACTAGGACAATAGTTAAAGAGCCCAACTAAATCTTGATTAGGCTAAAAAGTTTCACATTAAAGGTAAAATGCTCTAAATTAACTGGAAAATCTACATGATATAAAATGCTTTTTAATAAAGGCAACTCTTAC